AAGATTTGTTTTTAAATCTATGAACTGATGCTAGTCCTATTTGGAACAAAATGTATTTAAGGAGAAAGTTATGAGAATAAAATAAAAGTTGTCTGTACCACAAAGCATGCCTTCACTGTTTAGACTGATAGTCCTAGAGCTTTTTGAGCATGCATTCGAATATCTTATGACATATGACTCCGTTGTAAATAAAACAAACACACACCGCAAACTTCCACATGTACCCAAACCTCCAACACAATGAGAACACGCAAACGAGACTAAGTTTTGGTTAAGTTTATTTATCGAGAACAGAGATTTATATGAATACATTTGAGACTTTTTCTATAACCACAGCGCATATTATACCTACGATCAAGAAACACAAATACTATCAATAATGTCGTGTAAGTCGGTGATGCAACGGACCCGGGAGGAAACAGGAGTTATTCTGGCGCGTGAGTAGGCGGGTTTGTAAATTATCGTATCAATTGACGCGTAAACTAATTGTTTTTAAAAAAAACTTACATATTTTACCCTATTGTTCTAATGACAGCGAATAAACCAATCCAAACGCTTTAAACTAACTGATATCAGTGTATAAAACACACTGGAACCCTTTTTTCAGGAAGATTTGGGACTTCAGGCGGATTACAACAACGACCAGGGATCGTACGCGTTCATCAGAAAGGTCATGGCCCTGCCGTTCCCTCCAGCAGAGGAGATTCCTGCAATGTATGCACGGCTTCAGAAGATGACATCGACTCAGAAACTCCAGCAGTTAATGCAGTACGTCGGCAGGAACAGAATCACAGGCAACACATGGCCGTCCTCTTGGAGCGTGTTCATGAAATCCGTCTGAACCAGCAACGACATAGAGGGCTGGCATCTTGGGCTGAATCACCGCGCGTCTGGGAAGTCCCAGCTTCCTCTGTACCTCCTGATCCGCCTTCTTCACCACGAGGCCCTTCGGACATCCCTTCAGATCAGGCTTGTGTCCGAGGAGAAGTTACGGCGCATTCAGAAAAAAGGTTCCGAGACCTCCAAACCAAGATCTTCAACCTCTGGGATGAGTTCAACTCTGGTGCCCGTTGTGCAAGAAAACTACTAAAGGCGTTTTTCTACCTCAACGGCCCAGTACCTTCATAAAAAGGCTTTTTTAGGCGCCGCCGCGCCCTGCTTTCGTCACTTTGGACGATTTCAGGTCGCTAAAAACGGCTCTTTTAGGAGCCACCACATGTGCGAAAGTCATGATCAATGTAAACGTACGTTAGTAATTTAAATAAATATTCAATAAAGTTTGTTCTTTTAGGCCACGGGGAAACTGAATAATACAACTCGTTCGATCGAGTCGCGCGAAAACTGGGTATTACAACTACGTCGATCGATCGAGTCGCTCAGTTAGTCGAGTCGAATTTTAGCTTGAATAGAAAACAACAAATCACCACACATATCAAAGACGGAAACTAACACACTTTTACAGAACTTTTCTCGAGTTTACTTCTGTATCGAAACGACTTCAGTTTGCATCGAATCGACTTTACATTTTTAACGAATCGACTTCGATTTGTGTCGAAACGGTTTGTATCGCGAAACGACTTTGTATCGAAACGACCGGACACCAATATACCAGGCTCTTCTGCTAGTGTTTGACCACGTTTCCGATGAAAGCGGTCATACTGTTATTGTTGTGTCTCTGTTGGCTAGTCTGATAGAAGATCAAGTGAAGTATTTGAGAAGTCTTGGTCTGTCTGTCGTAAATATTTCTTCAAACGTTGAAGTTGATCGTGCAAAGATAGAGAAAGGAGAATATTCAATTGTCCATGGCTCACCTGAAGCATGGCTTATGAACCAGCGCTGGCTATGTATGTTGAGTATTGATGTCTACTCGAAGAAACTTTGTGTTGTGGCTGTCGATGAACCTCATGTTTTACGGCACTGGTAAGTCCGAGTTTTATCGCGATTTCCATCATTGACGTTTCAAACTTTCAAAGAAACAATTTCACTTATATTTGAATAAAAATGTGAGTAAAATTGGGAAACAAACACATACACTAAACAATAATATAAAATAATTATCCATTCTTCTTTGCTAAAATTATCTTAGAAACATTGTAAGTTCAGTTTCTTCAATACTTTTCCTGTAAAACTCTTAAAAAATGATTTATTTCAAACGAATTCAATCTTAATTTAAAAGTTTTCATTAGTATTGTTTTGTTTTAAAAGTAATTTATGTTTTCTTTCCTCACTCACAAGCCACTACCAGTTCACATACATGGAGACATTGCAGGGGACATCTGAGGACAATAAAATGGCAGCATTGCGTGAGTGTTATGGCCGACTTCATGAGCTGTGATCGTTAGCATCAAATGCCAACATGATTGCTTTGACTGCAAAGGCGAATAACTTGATAAAAAGAAACAATTTTAAACATCCTTCTTATGGAGAAACCATTTGAAGTCGAAGAAGGCCCAAACAAGCCAAGTGTAACTTACATTTTGCAGTGTATGCAAAAAGATACTGACTATGAGTTCTATTTTGAGTGGCTGGTTGAAGAGTTAAAATTGGAAGGTAAGTTATCCAAAAGAACCATTGTTTATTGCCAGACTATCAAGCTATGCAGTATTTTATATGGAATGATCAAAGCAACCTTAGGTAGGATATTTATAGTGGAACTGATGATGATCCAGGAAATGCACTTAAGGAAATGCTCCACTCCTGCACACCATCTGCAAATAAAGAGAAAATTCTTCTCTCCTTCCAGTCAATAAATGAAACTATTCAATTGTTGATTGCCTCGATTGCCTTCGGAATGGGGCAAGATTGTAAGGGAGTGCATAGAGTCATTCACTATGGACCTGCCAAAAATGTGGAATCTTATATTCATGAAACTGGGAGACCAGGCAGGGATGGTACTCAAAGTTGTGTTTGTACCATGAAATCCTTCTAGCCCATGTTGATGCCTATATGAAACGATATGTAAAAAAAATCTGCTCAAGCACTTTAACTGCACTACTTGGCAGCACGAAGTTCTGCATCTGTGCTGTGATAAATGTGCTGCAGATTGTGAATGCAGTTTGCCTGATTGTGGAGCTTTAGCATTTTATCCTTGTTCTCAATAGAAAGTAAACAATGGTGCATCAATTAGAAAAAGGCAAGTGGATGCAGAGCAGAGGAAAACTGTTGAGGATCTCCTGGTTCAATACTACAAGACCATTCTTATCAAACTGTTGAACACAACAGCTCATGGTGATGTGAGGACAAATTTACAATTTATGCTTGGATTCTCCGAGCACCAAATCACCCAAGTTTTGGATAATCTGGATGCAATTTTCAGTTTATCAGATGTTTATAGATTTGTAGAGATATGGGATATGTGTCATGCACAGGAGATTCTGAAAGTTATAAGCAAAGGTTTTAATGATGTGACTACAGGAATGCAGTCATCTGAGCCTTCTCCTTTAGAGGAGAATGGCTATGATTTTGACTGGGTTTTTTAGAGGGGTTTTTTGATGAGTGGAATGAGTGGAATGAATTTCTCTAAGACGATGACTCATTTGAGATGATTGTAGATAATTTGTCTCTTTCCCAAATAGACAATTCTTTATTGGAGCAAGAACCTGTTTGTAATTCCCAATTAATAGAACTTCCTTCAGCTGAACCAGCAACTGTTGAGGCTATCAATTTGGATGATGTAGTATAAACAAACTGTGACTGAACATTTTGTACCATGGAATACTTGTAGCCCATGTTGATGTAAAGAATTCTCAGGTTAATTAAGGCCTGGGTCACCCTGTCTTTAACCCATATTTTCACAAAATTGAGAATAAGTTAGCTATTTTGCGACGGATTTTTCTCATACTTGGCAGAAATGTGTATCACTACCATCTATCTCGGACTGAATTGTGGCAGCATAATATGATACTCTCAACAGCCAAAAACAGTTAATTTAGGCGCCAAATTTGTCAGTTGCTTTCTTGAGCAAATTCCTACCACTAAACACAAGGCAAATCAAAATGCAGTTATCGCTATGAATATTTGAGACGTTTTTCATTGTTTTCCCACTTGGAATGGCTGCCAAAAAAAAGAGAGATGTGCTAGGCAGATTAAATCAAGTTTTGTCTCTGCGAAGCTGCTTCCTCTATCATGGTTTTCGCCGAAAACGTCTTAGCCTTTACCTGGTTCCAACCGCTATCAACGAAAGTAATCCCACAGGTTCCTATTTATTTGGAAAAAAGACAAATTAAAACTGTTTAAGAGGTGGGAATTTTGAAAACTCGCAGTCACGTAATTCAACTTAGTGTCCGCCATTTTGACACACGAGTCACGCGAGTGTTCAGAAGCAATAATTTAACAGCTGTTACACTACCAAATACTAACTGGAGCAATCTCAGTAGTAATACAGGCAAACTTTGTATACTTTTGATGATATTTATTTCTTTTTCTCGTTTTCTGAGGTCGATTGCATCTCTGTAAATCCAGGGTTAGATCGCCTTTGACAGTTCTAATAAAACAAAATTGCAAATTTGGGCGGTAAGAATAAAGAACGTTTGTAATTTTATCCCAAGTAGTATCATATAACGAGACTGAATTACAATTTTGGCACAAAACTTGAAAGTTATCGCACTGATTCCTTGAAACTCTTCAAGGTTTTGTTCCCTAACAACAGTACTACTCGATAACGAGCTAAGTGTATTCGTGTGAAACAAAAATGTCTGTCATTTTTAATTGTGGATTTGCAAGAGTTGCTGTAAAGGAGAGCTTTCATAAGGTTGGAAGTGCTTTGGTTGAAACTAACCCTAGTGAAAAGTGGAAGAACTATCTTGCAGCGTTCGAGGGTGACAGTCAGGAAGTCTTTGCGGTCGAACGTTCCACCTATGTCAAGAAATCCAAAGCAATTTACAGCTCTTTCCAAAAGATGAACTCAAAAGCCAGGGCCCAGTACCAAGACACGTTTTCAATGGTAAACTGGAAAGCTCTTAATACAGCGCAGAAGAAACAGCACACATTGTCAAATTGTGGAGGTTGTCAAGTGCACTATTATGCTATCCATAATTTTTTCCCTAGTGGGGAAATTACAAATTGTGAATGAATTTTAGAGGGACATTTTTAATAATGCACAGATAAGGTGCTCTAGGGTCCATCAGGTACAAATTACTTCATAGGTCATACTCATGTCTATAATTTTACATCGCTGCTAGATAACATACATGTACTGATTTATTTCCCAATTCCTGCCAATTATTGATCTATGAAATTGAATTTAGGCAAGCAACTGGCAGATCAAACTTAAAATTATAAACCAGAGTTTTGACCAGTTAGGCCACCATAGCCTTCTAACAGGAATATTGACTTGGAAGAGCAACAAAAAAAGCAAGAAATACAATTTTAAAATTTTCCTTTCTGACTTTGTAACAAGGGCAACCTATCCTGCTCTTAAGATGGCACATCTTTTATGAGTAGGGCTGAGAAGATGACACATCTTATACCAGTTTGTGTTTGCTCTTGTCACAAAAAAAAACAGTGCCCCACTTGGGGCAACAGTAAGCACTGGTAATTAATCATGTCTTATCAACAAAGAGAGAAGGCTATGGTCAGAATCATATGCATGTATCAGAACTTTTGTGATGCATTTGAATTAAAAGATACTCCACTGGTGTAGTGGGTAGAATATTTACATTCAAATAGACACATATATCAATTACAAGTCCATCATTGACAATGATTATTGCAATTATTACCGGTCAAAACTTAAAAACCAAACTGTTGACTATAATTAAAACTGATATAACATGATTTAAAAACCAAAAAAATGCCTCATAAATAACACCATTAACATGCTTGTACAAAGGACCTCTTCAAGAAAACAAATAGGGATAACAGTAAATAAAACTGGTTTTAATCAAGTAGATTCCCTTTGGAATCTGCAAGGGCTGGCTGGTTTTCTGTGTGAGTAATTAAAATTATTATTATTATATATTTATAGCAATTCAGTAAGGGACCTCGGAATAAACTAACACACATTAGTACAGCTTTTTTCCTCTTAGTTTTCAAGGGACAATTTATGACAAGACAATCTGCATCTTACATGTCAGCAATTAAACTTACCTAACAACTGCTTTGGGGGATTACGTTTGTCAGTAAATTCATCTGCTTCTTGTAGAAATTGTTTCCAAAGCATTCAAAAGCCTAAATTTTGATAAACACCATAAGTTTACACATCATGATGTGATAGAGGATTTATCAAGCTAAATTTAATTTCAAAATTGAATGGTATATCCACAATGAAACTTTTTTCTATGCATTTGTTACAAAACATAGTACTTTTTTCTATGCAAAGTTACCAACATTGTAAAACGCTATTGAGCTCTAGAAATGAGCCCTACATTATAAATTCATGTTGCATTGTATTTGCAGTGAAATCAATAAACATGTTGAGAGCGGTGTTTAGAAGTCTTCGTAGGTTCTCTTTGGCTTTAAGATAGCGATATCATGCCATTTTTTGAGGAAATGAAGATAGCAAAGAAAATGTTATTACCTTCTTTTGATGTCTTCCGCTAGATTGTCGGATTCACCAGCGAAGATGGGAAAAACCAATGCAAAGCCGACACTTCAAAATGGCGGATGCCGTTCACGAACTACGCGATCTTGATTCCAAGTAACTATGGTTACTCGCGCAGTCCACGCGAATTCCGCAAACCTTGCTGGGGGGGCACTGGAGGCAAAAATCATTTTTGATCCAGGCCTTCACAGCATGATCTCGACACCAAAATAACGATTATCGTTATTTCTAAATTGGCTCTGAAATAACGAATATCACGAATATCATTTCAGTGCATGTCTGAGACCTTCGGGCTCGAAGCTTGGGAACTAGTATTCAGGGAAAGATAAAATGGCGGCTTACGGCGGCGAAGGAAATCTCAGTAGTTTAATATTTTAGCGTGAAAAGGCTTGGGTGTTGTGATCTGGTTCTCAAGTAAAAAAAAAATCACGGTCTACAATGGCCCTACCACCTTTTGAACAACAAGAAAACATTGAAACGGTGGTAAAAAGCAGCAAGTTTCGAAGTCTAAACGAAAGATGGGTAAGCTGAGTTTCAGTCAAATATCATGACATTTGGGATGTAATTTCGATACCGAATAAATAGTTCTACATGATTATACACGCATAGGATTCTGTTGTGTTCACGTGAAGGCCATTTCAGCCATTCCTGCCACTTGTAAGTGGTAGGAAATAAAAGATATGCATACTTGTTTCGTATTGAAGCCCTGTGAAATCACAAATTTGATTTATTTCTTCTTTGTTTTAGGTGGTCATTATCCATTACTTTTGGAAGTCGATGCTGATGAGAAAGAAAAAATGTTTATGATTATTTCTTCTCTCGAACATTTTACTATTTAGGTACCAAATAATCTTGATACTGAAGATCATTGCACCCATTATGAAAAAATTACCCTTGATTGCTTTGTCAACTGGATTGTATAATGTAATATACCTTGTGATTTGTGGGATTTTCACAAGTAAACTAGAAATACTTGAAGAGGGTAATGATGTACTTAATGCAGAGCATTTGATACAAAGTCTGCTTTGCTGTAATCTACCTGAAGGTGCTTTTTATATGCTAGTAAGACTTGCACAGCCCAGTCAAAATGTTTTTGAGTAGTAGACAAGCTGGCTGTAGTAATTATAGGTAGCAGAGGCCAAACCTCTTCCTGAAAAGCAGTCTGAAAAGTGTGAAGTTAGCGGAAGGTACTTCATTGTAGGCAGCCAAATTGTAAGCTGCCAGCCCATTTTGAGTGAGCAGTAAAACTCAAGATTGGCTATTTTAGCTAATTTTATTGAGAACCAAATTCCCAGCAACGGGCACATTTTTACTGGGCTATTTGTTATTTAACTACTTAGTAATATTCTTATTAAAATTTACTGCATTCCTTTCTAATAATTTGCTGCTGATTGTATGCTGTATATAGCTTATGATTTGTGTGATTTTCACAAGTAAATTAGAAATACCTGAAGATGGTAATGATGTACTAGATAATGTACTTGATGCAAAGCTATTTTGGTGCAAAGTGTGTGCCTTGTCCGTAGGTGATTTTGCATGCTAATAAGACTTGTAATTCAAATAATACACATCAGCTGGAGTGGGAATATTAAAAGAAAAATAATAATATTTAGCTATACCAAGTTCTGGTTTTATGTCCAAATTAAGCACTTAATTGAAGATCACTGCACTGCTCAGGTCCAGAAGGCTGAAAGAGTACTGTCTGCTGTTAGTTTGATTTTTGTCATTTCTATTGATTTATTTTATTTATCAATGTTTCTTTGAATTGTAATTCATTGATCTCTTTCAATAGTGCAGGTTCGCTCATGTAACCTAATCTCCCACATATGTATGTATGTATGTATGTATGAGCTCAGTCGAAATGTTTTTGAGTGGAAGGCAAGCTGGTGATAGTAATAGGCAGCAGAGGCTGAACCTTGTCTTGAATGGAAGTGTGAAAAGTGTGAAGTTAGTGGCAGCTATATTGTGGCAGGCAGCCAAATTGTCGGCTGTGGCACATTTTGACTGGGCTGATTGTGTGTAGTATATATGTGCACTTCTTTTAGGGTGTTAAACAGGTTAAAGTACCAAGAAATCCTCTGTGATAACTTGATAATTCAAGATGTAAAAATTTTAAATAATAAGGTAAAGCTTGATCATTCTTAAGAGTTTCCATTTGTTCTGGAAATTTGGGGGAGAGTCAGGGGAGCATTATTTATACATAAATAATGTACATAAAAAGTAAAAAAAAAAGGACCAAGGTAAAATCCCAATTTGTTTTAAGAGTTGATTTTATTAAGAGAAAACCCTGGATATAGCTTGGGATTTGTGTGATTTTCAAAAATTGTTAGGAACCTTGTTAATTTTCAGCTTCAAGAACACAAGTACATAATCTTTAGTGCAGCCCTCTTTTCTCCCCGCCATTATTCTAATTTTTTTTATCAAGTTTCCTTTCTCTTGTGTTCAATTAATTTATTGTCTTTACAGGTGAAATCTTAATATCTGCTAGCACAATTATCTCTGCTAAGAGTGTCTACCATCACTCTTGCCGGTCTCAAGCCCAAAACACTGCAAACTAGCTGAAACTACATGTATTTCGTCAAATTGCAATGAAATCTATCTAAAAACACCAAAATCCGGCAGAACGCACGAGTTTTTGCCAAATTTTACGCAAAAGTTGACAAAAGCGCTCAATTCGACCTGAAAAACACGTTTTTTTTTTGTTTTTTTTTTTGCAAAAATCAGCCTATTTTACATTCAAAAGCACGATGTCTTTAACAAAATAGGGATACAATCCATGTGAAAACACTTATTCCAGCTAAAACGCAGTGTTCTCAGTAAAAATTTGGGGAAAAAACGCGTAAAAACGGTCAGAAACACGACAAATTGGGCTGATTTTACCCACTTTTTGTGTAAACAGCTGCCAAAAAACTAGCTGGAACTACATGTTTTTCACAAGATCGCCATAAAATCTTGAAACGTTGCTTTAGGGACCTTTATGCCTCCAAAACGAGTTTTTACTTTAAAAAAAATGGAATGAACAAAGATGTTAAAGGGGAAAAAGCTGTGAGAAAGGAGAAGTTTAGTGTTGCTGTTTGATATGCCGCCCAGATATATCAATTTATTAATTTAACGCCTTTAGCCGTGGGCAGAAGTTTTTCTCTAGACTAAGAGGACCCTCCCTATGTTGACGAACCTCAATAATTCGTTGATTTTACTGTTTTTACACAGATTTGATTTTAACCATATTCGCCAAAATAACTGCCAAAACACGGCAAACCAGTATCTCGGCCAAGAGCGATATTGGCCATTTCACACATCCTTATTAGAAATGAATTTTATTAAAGATTGTCATTCTAGCATATGTTGGCTAGTTTCCACAGCTTTCTTGATTTTCATGGGAAAGTGGCATTGGTTGGTACCATGACCAATCTCCTCGACTTTCCCATGATTTTCATAGGATGTTAGCATCGACCCATACTTCGAACCTCAGTTGTTGTTTTTTTTTTTACATTGGCGCGAGTTTCACAACTTTCTTGTGGTTTGGCATTGACTCAGAGTTGGGCTTATTTTTATGGCTAATCCATCGGCGACTTTCTCATGATTTTCTTGGGTTCTCAACAGTGACACGCACTTTGGAACCATAATTTTATAAATATGTCAACACTGGCAAATACTGCTAAAATCTACACTCTACTAAACTCCATGTACCACAATATCCACACAACTGCGTGTGCCTACTTGAAAATCCTAACCCTGACCCTAAAACTATCCAGTTAGCCTAGTATTGTATTGCTGGTTTGAGTGACTAAACTGGCTCAAATGATCCAGCTGCTTAAAGATCTAAGCACAGAGTAAGTTTAAAAGATTCAATTTTGTAAGGTTTCGAAACAGTTCCAAAATTAACATGCACATAGCTCAGTGTAAAACATCGAAGCTTCTAGGACTTCTTATGATTCCTACGAACGTACACACCTAATGCACGTCAATTTGCCTTTGTTGTCCTCGAACGATCACGTCTTCATGGTAACGTGGTGTAAGAACTGTACAGCACTTTATATATATATGTTTTACTTGACGGTAAAAGTTTGAATCCGTACAAGGAAACGTAACGGAAACAGGCGACGATAATATTCCGTTGATAGAAATGCAACGGAAACGTGTCGTCATATTTCCGTTCAGGAATCATAACGGAAACATAACAGGTCCAAGGAAGAAGTGAATGATGTGGAAACATAGAGTTTCATTTTTCCGAATTACGGAATCATGCTATTTCGTCCTGTGCTCACTCTAACTCTGTGCTATCCTAAACCTAACCCAAACCCCAAACCAATCCTAAGCTATGGTAAAGGGTTTAAGTCAGGGTTGAGGATAGGGTTAGGGCAGGAGCCCATTACCTGGTTAGGGTTAGAGTTTGGGTTGCTTCGGGTCAGAGGGGTTTAGTGTTACAATCAGGGTTAGGGCTAGGGTAAAATTATGCTTAGGGTTAGCGGGGTTTAGTGTTAGAATTAGGGTTAAGGCTAGGGTGAGGCTATGCCTAGGGTTAGCGTTAATATTTTTCTACAAGCATTCAATTGCAGGGTTTTTGGTATTGTGTTTGTAAATTTCAGTAACTACTTGAAAGTTTACTGAAAAACAAACGATAGGCCGACTGGTACACTTACAGGATAGATAGAGAAGGTTGGGGTTAGGTTAGGGTTAGGGTTAGGTCTAGGTTAAGGGCTATAGGTTAGGGTTTAGGGTTTAGGGTTTAGGGTTAGGTTTTAGGGTTATGGTGTGGGGCTAGGGTTAGGGTTAGGGTTTAGGCTTAGTGTCAGGGTTAGAGGGTCTGCGGTTGAGGTTAGGGCTAGGGTGAAGGTTTGGGGTTAGGGTTTGGGGGTAGGGTTAGTGTTTAGGGTAAGGGTGTAAGCTTCTTCAAAAATATTTTCAAGAAGATTTTGTCACCTTTTTCACTTAAATAACCACCTGAAGAATTTTGACCAGTTGGATTATTTGAAGCGGTTGGATTAATTTTGATTGGGGTTCAATAACTTTTAGTAGTTGGATGATTATTTTTACCAGTTGAACCACTGTAATATGCTGGATCTTTTTAACTAATGTTACCATCCTTACCAGGTTGATTACTTGAATTATTTGAACCAATTTCACTGGTTACACATGCATTATCCAGTTAGACCATTTCAACTGGTTGGATCATTTAAACCAGTTTGTCCATTTTAGATATTGGCATCATTTTATCAAGTTGGATCATGTTAACCAGTCGCACCATTTTACTAAGTGAGATCGTTTCTTCCAATTGGACCTTGTCACGTAATTAAAATCTTTTCACCGTTTAAACCATTTTATCTTGTTTTGGCTGGTTGGACCATGTTAACCAGTTGCACCATTTTGACTTGAGTGAAAAGTTCCGTTCTTAACCCTAGCCCTAACCCTAACCCGGGGTTAGGGTTAGGGTTAGGGTTAGGGTTAGAGTTAGAGTTAGGGCTTGGGTAGGGTGGGATTATGATTAGGCTGAGGGTTACAATTTTTTCTGAAAACATCCAATTTTTTTTTTGGTATTGTGTTTGGCTCTAAACTTTAACAACTACTTGAAAGTTTGCTTGAAATCAAAACATACCATTTTTTGCCAAAATAACTGCCAAAATGCGCAATTCGGGCCTTTTTATCAATTTACGCTGGGTTTAAGCTTGGTTTTTGTGTTTTCCCACAGACTCTTAAACTATTCAGAAATTACATCCCAAATGTCATGATATTTGACTGAAACTCAGCTTACCCATCTTTCGTTTAGACTTCGAAACTTGCTGCTTTTTACCACCGTTTCAATGTTATGAGGTTTCTGCTAGTCTTGGTTTAGTTGAATTGAACATTTGCTTAACATCAACTTACTTTCAGTGTGACATTAAACACTACAAAATACAGCTATGAGGTCTCTGGATTCTGTTGTTGTGACACAAATTGTGATGTAGAAAAGGAGGAACACACCCTTTTGATTTTCCAACAGCTGATACCATCTTGAATATCTTGCGTTAACAATACATTCACTGCTATGCAAAAAAACAAAATCAATGCAGTACACCAGATGAAACACTGACATACAGTTTACCAGAGAAGTAAAAAAAAATGGTAAACTTCCTCTTCTAGGCTGTCTAAACCATGACTACAACTTGCTATATACAACAGTTTACAGGAAACCAACATACACTAGCAGATTACGAGACAAGTCATCCTACAACCCATCATCACACAAAGCCACAACTATCAGGACTCTAACACAACAAGCACAAATAGTATGCAACACAACACACAGCTTATCCAAAGAGAAGAAATACCTTGATTATAGATTTTTTATCATAAGACAGAATGTATTTTACTTTTGGAAGGTTTAAGGTTAATAAATGAACAATAAAATCTAAAACAAAGTAGATCATGATCAATTTAAAGTGAACACATTCTTTACATTTTAAAAATCAGTCCTTCCTGTTCAAACAAGTACTTATTTGCAGTCATCCTCTCTATGCATCCTCAGAGAACACTTAAGGCCATATTTAAACACAAAAACTGCGGTGAATTTAAATGTGTAATCTGCTCTTTTTTATTTTTTGTTCACCCTTTAGAAAGCTGCAATACCTATGCTACAGTTGCTGTCATTTGCTGTTCTCCTTTTCCTCCCTTTCAACATAGCCCCAACCATTGTGGTCTGGTGCTATCTGAAGCTTCTTCAGTGTTCAGAATTTGCACTTTTGTTTGTTGAGGCAATACATAGGATTTGATATGACCCCATAGGATTTTCTTTCAAAGCTTTTTACAAATAATTTCATTTTTCAAATACTCCTGTCACAGGTGTGCAGGAGTTGCAGTCATTTTAACAATTTTGGTGTTATTTATTTGCTTGTATAAGGAAGAAGGCAAGTAGCTCTGATAGCAACAAGCTAAATGTAGTGAGAATTCTGGACAGTGATTTACTGGAGTGTGGTCTTTTCTTCATCAGAGAACCATTCTATTGATCAGTGCATGCAACCATGCACAGACTTTTAATCAGAGGAGATATATTCAAATGGCATAAATAACTAAGAATGCAAGTCACAGATTCTAGTCAATGGAGATAAATTGGAATGGCTGAATTAAGTAAGAGTGCAAGTCACAGTTTGGTTAATTGTAATAGCAGATAAAGTAACAGTTATGAGTATGCCTTGGATAAAACCTATACATGTATTCACTGATTTATTTAAGAAATAGATAATAGATTGGTGTTGCACTGAAATTAAGCCCACACAGGATATTGGGAGAACAGGAGGAAAGTTCGTAAATCATGAACCATAGAAAGTGCAGTCTGGTTCATTGGTAAAATATATGGAGCCAATGTCAGTATTTATCTATTTATTTATATGATTTTTGAGTTTTACCTGTCTATGTTTATTAGACAAATGTTCAATATTTGACCTACTTAAAAGAAAAATATATTTTTATTGCATTTCCTCTTTTCTTTCTGTATTCCTTCAGGTATCATATCTGATGCAGCTGTTGTTAGCCTTGTGATGATTTTTATAGTTTGGGCTATGAAACAGGAAAGATTGATGCAAGAAAATTCCTTAGATGTGCCGTCACAGTGGCTACAGTAAGTTTTTTGTTCCTGCTTGTTCATAAACCAAACAGTTGTCTCTGTCTTTGCATTTTATTTTTCTGCCTCACTTTATTATACAAACAGAAAGCATATGCTATGTTACCGTACAGGAGTTGACTGATTCGATAAGTCGTCTGCATTCTGCAAGTTGGGGGGGGGGGGGGGGGGAAGGAGGGAGGAGGTGTTTTCATACACGAAATTTTGAAAAATTCACGGAACACATGCACTTTAGGCAGTATTTCACTCGGATTTTAGATTTAAAAGGACAATTTCCAGATCTTAGCTTACCTTGCCCTTCTGAGAAATTCACGTGTCACGTCTTAGTTTTGAGCTTAATCATGCGTCACGCACAAACCCTTTGCCGCCCTCTACATAGTACCTGTATTCTTTCTGATTTGTTTGAAATAAGAAGTTTTCTTGGAATGCCGTTCACTCCTTCAGAGTTCCTTTTCGTTTTTATCTAGTGAAGGGTACAAATTTTGTAAGTGTACAGAGCCTTTGTTATCCCCACCCCTCTCCCCCTTCAGGGCCTCTTTACTCTCTACTGCGGTTATAGGCAGTCTAGGGAAATGGCCGGCCACAAAGTAGTATTGTAAAGATCCTGAAATCCTTCCAAATAAGGGCCTATGTTCAAGAGTTGAAAGAGTACAAGTCAACAACAGAGAATGTAATCGTACCCCACCCCTGTGGCCAAGGGTTTATATTCGACATGGGGTAACTGGAGGTTCTCAGGAAAAATAATGCATGTTGATCAAAATACTTTGTGATTTCGACTGAAAATAAATACTATCTGCCGTGAGGACACAGGTAGAAGGATTTGGGGGCAACCTTGTGCAAGTAAAGGTCAATTTGTTTCACTACAGTGGGCGAACTCGCAAAGATGGTAGGGAACGAACTAACAATTGGACGAAACCTCCATAAAGCTGAGGTGATATGTCACTGTGGGTTGAGTTCGTTGCTGGTTTCTATTTACTGTTTCCTTTATTTTTCCGTGTTTTCTCTCTCAAAAAATATCTCATTTATTATGCATATTTATTTATTTATTTATTTATTTATTTATTTATTTATTTATTCGTGTACTTATGCAGTTTGTTTCGGTCGGAAACATAGGCTCTGCTGCAAATCTTTCGTAATTTTTTTTATACCCTATGCTTTTTAAATAGACAAGTCGCCGATAACCGTTCATTCCTCAAGGTGTTCTTATCGATGGCGAAAGTAAGCATAGGTATGTAAAGATGCTGCCTATAAACTGTAAACGTGAAGGAAAGAAATTAATGTACATTTCATTTGATATATAAGTAGTTTTCAGTGTAACTTCTTTTACGTAAATGTCAGGTTTTTGTTAAAAATTAAAATCAGTCATTAGCCAGTTGTTCTTGCTTTATTTTCCGTGTTTGTTAGACTGCTTCTACATTTTACAAGTTTGGTATCTCGTCTTATAGCCAAGCTGGACTTACAGCCGAGTAAATACTGTACATGTAAAGCAGGTTGACGCGGCTGGTTCAATCACCTAAGAGCCACTATGGTTACCGGTCACTTCGCCTGATATTTGTCGGTGAACTGACCAATGGTTTCCGGGTAATGCCACTATTAAGGACATTCCGTAAAGTCGTATCAAGTACCTTAAAGACAATACTCGAGGGTTGCTGCGTTTGAATCCAGTTGGTTTGTCTTGGCCTGTCATTTTGAAACCCCCAAGCTGAATCGCATCCTGTTCGTCAATGCGTCTATCTTTACTTCGAGCTTTTGAATCTGAAGCAATTGTGAACGAGTTCCTTCACGCTTTTCCTTACTCCGTATAAAAAGCTGAATGCAAGTGGCGAAAATAAACAACCTCGTGATGTCATATCTAATTTCACTATCTACTCTTTGATTAATTGATTTGTTTTCATTTTTCAGCGCATGCGACGCGTGTTAAAAGAATATTTTCGGTGTTCATCTCACCCACGTGTCTTCTGCTTGCTTTGATGAGGATTGCAAGTGTTGTTCAGTTCGTGACTTTGACTCCGACTTTCTTTTACCAGAAAGAGGTAAGCAGTAACACTGAAACATTTCAATAACTTCGCTCAATTACCTTTAAAGTCTGTCCAGTAAGGGTTTGGGTCGTTTCTTGTCTCTGAATAAATTTCTTTTGTTTGCTTTCATTTCAAATTGGCAATCAGAAACCTTTAAATTCTAGGATAAAGGCAGCTGCTTTTAACAGAACAAGGGTGTGCATGCGTCGAGCAGCTATACATTTTCTTTTCAGTGGTTTGGCGTGATATCCGGGCAATAACTTCTAGCTGTTACTTAGTTTATTTTCTTCTCTACACTTATCTGCATGGCTGTGTATTGATACTGTAAGAAGGGATTTCTTAACGGTCATCAATAGCAGTGAAAAGGATTTGATTAAAGTCATCTAGTCTATTTTTTAGGATGATGAATACAGTACATTACAGGAAGTGGATCTCCAGCCCCACAGAAAAGGTCTCAGACCTCTTTACCTTCGCCTGATCATTATTTTTGTGTACACACAAGTTGTCGTTCGCACCATCGCCTCTACAACAACAAACCGTCAGTACCTTAGCCAAGTTACTTCTTTTACTGACATGTTACCTGGCAACAGAGTGTGGCGGATCATGCAACTGCTATTAGTCACAACAACCTACATTTATCAGATGTTCAAGGATGAATACCAATGAAAAAAACTCAAGGGAAGGTTACTTCACTTTAAGACACCAAACATTTAAGATGTATATCTTCTTAATGAGAACGAAAAGATAGGTATTAAATGACAAGGGAAAGTAAATGACGGCGCACAAATCCGTGGGGCCCTGGATTGACGCAAGGCATCATGTGATAACTGGTAACGTGGCGTAATGAAGTCATTCAGTGCGTTGGTATTGATTATAGGTGATAACCATCATGAGCACGATCCTAACAAGGATGTAGTTTGACTTTACTTTTTAAGGCGGACCCACCAACAATATTAGAACGCAACATCGCACTGTTATGTTGCAGTTTTGCCCCAATAAGAAAGGGACATTTAAACCGTGTTACAGGAAAGAATTTGATGTGGAAATGAGAATAGATATGTTGCAATATGTTTCTGTTGATGGTTTAGTCTTTACATCTAGATTAAATACTGAGGAAAAGAAGTATGTGTTGATAGAATTCCGAAACAAGCGACGTTTACGGGTTCGGTGATTGAACAGGAAGTGAAACCCATGTGTGGACTATAGATAGTGTTTTTGTGTCAGGGTAATACGGTTCAGGTTGGATAAATACCTAGATCAGCTCACTCCGTATTTGCGATTGACTTAGGTGCCACAAGCAGGAGCAGAAGAGATGTAGTTGCGGGTATAAGCCGCTATCTTGGTATCATTTATTCCTTACAGGTCATGTTCCATGTAAACCAACTTGACAAAATGAAACTGGCACAGAATCATTTTAAAGTTTCTAAAACTGGTTACAATAAGAAGGATTAACATATCAAGTCAAGTGAAATCGATCAGGCTCCTAAACCGCAATCGGTTGGTTAAGTTGTAAACTTGAACCAATCGTGAATTTGGGTATTATGGACATTGCTATGGAACACTGAAGAAAATGTCACCACATTGGCGGGATCCAACGCTCTCGCATAAAAAATCGAGGCTAGTGGCCAGCTAGTCCAAGATGGCGCCCAAACCTGTAAATTTTTCAGTATCCAGAAAAAGCGATATGAAAAGTTTGTGTTCTCCTGACGTCGAACGCAAACAAAATAAACGAAAAGAAAAAGCTCAAACTGCACAGGCGTTCATACGATCTCCTATGTATCACACTACAGATACGTAACATCGGTTAAAATGTAATCTTAAGCCTGATTAGTGAATCAAAGGCGTATACGCTAATGACCCGTAACGGGTTGAAATTGTTAAGCGCCTCCGTAATTACCAGTGTATTTCACAGGTTTGTTTTTTATAGCGCACGAAGGTCCATCTGGAGTTCCAAATGTGTTGACGTCAGCGCCGTTTTTGGTGGGCAAAATGAGTATTCCATCTTGAGACGCCATGGATGGATCTTCGCTGAAATAGTTGTACGGTCGCAGGAAAAAGCTGGCTGAATTGGCTGCAGTGGCAGTGTTCGGAATATCTTCGGAATGAGGTATGTGCATCACGCCCACTGTTACCCAGGCAACCAGATCTTCATTCACTATATTTTCGTTATCTGCAGTGAATTTTGAGAAATCCACAACGGGGTCGTGCATGCTGTTCTGGTTATAAATGGAGGAGCTTCTCTCTTCCTCTTCTTTGCGTTTAGTGACCGTCATCTGGTTCTGTGTCCAGATGGCTCCTGACATTAGTTCCCAGTCATTGGGGTATATTTGTTTCATCATGTCTCGGATGTGGATACGATAACCTCGATTGACGTTCATCTTATTCACGTTTCCATCGCTGAAAAAGTTCAGGTACTTGGGATGTTCAAAATTTTGATGATAGGTGGCTTCTTGTTCGGTCTGCTTTAGGCTGCGACTGAGCACCTTTTGTATTCTTCTGGAGCCTGGAAACCAGGGATTAGAGATATTTTCCACTTTGATGTCGATATTCTCAAAGGAGTTCTTTCTTCCTCCAATGTCTAAGTCCACTTTGTAGTTGATCAAATGATCGTGAATAGTTCCGGCAACGCCAGTATGAATCTCGGTACCGTACGGAGCCTCGTTTGCCGTCCAATAGGTAGCTTGCACGTAGCCACTCGTCGACACCCTGACCTCCACGACACCGTTGGGATAGAACAAATAATCATAAATATAATCGTAGTTGTATGCAGTGGAAACGGAGCGCAAAACTAAAGCATTTCCTGGCATTCCTCCGTAGAAATTGTAACCACCCTCAAAGTCGTTATCAAAATGTCTGCGTAACGGGAGACCAAGGTCAAGCTCAAATAAACACACCGATTTCCGGTAAGTAGCTGGCTCACTGCTGCTTACAAAATGAATTGTGTCGAAGAATGTGGCCGTGCTTGGGCAGTCAATGCCTGGGACTAGTTCAAACTTGCTGCTGCCCATGCCCCAGGAGGCATCGAGATATTCGGTGAACATCTGCATGGGACTCCACCCTGAGTAAAATGCTGCAGCTTCCTGGAGACTGAGTTCATACACGATTCTTTCGCCGTCGAATTTGATATCAAACAGCTGCATCCCAGTGGAACTGCGGGAACGAAAATCAAAACTCCACTTCATGTATTCCACGTGACTTCCGCTGACGGTATAGCGCTTACCATCGGGCTCAACCAGTTGGGGTGGTCTCAGGGGTATCGAGGGTTGTGGTTTTCCTCGCTGAAAATAAGACGAGTACAAAGGCGTTTCACTCGAGGAAGATGGCGCAGGGAGAAAGACTTTGTGTAGAGTGCCGTTCTTGTAACCTTGCATCAGTTCTTCAACACTACCAAATGACTGATTATAATAGAACACTTTTTCAACTTTCCACAAGGAAACATCGTTGCCTTGTGTGTTAAGATAGATCTCAAAGCCAACCGGATGCACGTAACTTCCCTGTAGTTTCCGAACAAACCAGATCCATTTCTCACGGTGGCCAGACTGTCCGGGTGCAGACTCGGACCATACTAAGCAGCGGTCAGTACAGCCACTGTATGTGTACCCATCGAAGCTTTCCTTCAGCAAGTCAAAGGCTTGTTTTGTTACGTTCAAGACAATGCGTTCTATAACTCCGGTATCCTTACCTCCCGGTGGGCGAGAATCAAACGGAATCGGATATTTTTGACCGGGGCCGGTTGTTTCTTCATGTTTGGTCGGTTTCGCAGCTGGACTCACGAGATATTCTTTTACGTCCGGGTTACCTTTTCCTCCATTAAAAATAACGACACGAGCCTTGCGTTCGGGCTTTAAGGCGTCGTTGTTGCTATCGAGAAATGCAAGCGCTTCGTCTTTAAGTGGTTGCTGCAGCTCAATTAAGTAAATGAAGTTCATGTTTATGGCCGCTTGTTCATAAGGTGTAACGTTCATGGACGGCTGGCTCAGGATGTAGTCACGAACAGCGATTATCTCATCCTTGGTTAAGTCGTTGAATAGACCCGTGGAGCGTACTGACTGAAGTTTCAGCCGTGTGTTATCTGGGCAAAAATCATTGACTTGGGAGGACGATTCATTTTCCAAACTTCCATTCTTATCTCTTGTTGACACCACAATTAATGCGATCAGCAGACCCAATGACAATAATGCAAGAAAGACACAAAAAATTTGCAGAATTAAAACTTTTCTTCGCGCATCTTTAGCCATGATGCGAAACACCTTATATCATAGTCGAGCCAGACCTCGCTCGTGCGATGTTTATGTAGTATGCTAATTGTCTCTCGTTTTACGTTACATTGCTAGGGTTCCATGTCTCATCTTTGTCAGATTATCATTCCATCTTGGTTCTGGTTTGTGTCAGTCGCAAAGCTGTGATTTGAACTTTCAGACATCATAATAACAAATATAACCAACATAATAATGACTAGACATAGTTGTTACACAAAATTGCCCCCAGCCGTTTTTTAACACTCGAGTGTGTTGAAACTAAAAGCTGGGTCCATCTGTTATTGAGACAGTTAAAAACATTTAGCGGGAAAGAATAATTGTGTACTTTTCAAAGAACGTAAATAAGTTAAGAATCTCTCTTTCCTTTCCCTTTTTTTTCAGTGGAGGCAATTATATCGATCTTGACGCAAACATTTTCATGACGATTTAATCCATGTGTGTTATCTTGATGTGAATTAACGCTGTAAGAATCCAGATATTGGATATTGTCACGATAATACGTCACGAAATTTTGTGGAAAACTAATATCTACGTCCACTACTCTTCAGTCCCCCACCCCTACCCCTCTGTTTGTTTTTTTTACCGTCGACTGCCCCTTTGGTACAAATTTCTTTCTCTCCCCACCCTTCCGCTGCCATTAAAATCAAAGAAGGCGGCTATAATTTTCGCTAAGAAAATACTGAGCACTCGTTCACTAAAAAATTACACCTGTTCTACAGGCTACGTCCACAAGGACTCTGGTGAAGCGATTCCATGCTCAAAATTGATTTCCTTGACTTATTATAATTTTAATTGTGTATCAAGTAAGTTGTAATTTCGTTTATACCCTTACAGTAAAATTTTTCTACCGTCTAAGTAAAGCATTTACGTCACCATTTAAGTAGTAGTAGTCATAGGAATCGAATTAGTTTTGCGAACAGTGATATTTCAAATTAGGTATTTCCAGGGCGTAAAGCGCGTAGGAACATAGTAGTAAGATTGTCAAGTAAAGCCATGTTTGATAGGAAATTCGTACCCACAAATCGTTGCAGAACAACGTGAGCAAGTCTTGAATCCCGCACGAAATTGCGTATCTGGGTGTAGATTTCTTAAGCTAATGAATGTAGCAATTTTTGTAACCCTAAGTTAGATTGGAATAGAATAGATAGATCGTAGAACGGAACGTGTAATGCTGAATTGTCGACAATAAAGCCTGAATCAAGTGAAAGTATACATGAAGTAGTTGCTAAAGAAAGCACGCAAGCTAAAGCCGTACTGTAAACCAGCTCAAGATCCCGGAAGCATCAGATCTCAAATAGAAGACTATAGAAGTCAATTGAAGGCAGACAAAAATGTAGAATATTTCAATTGACATACGATTTAATGCACTAAACTTCATAGATGAACCGGTCAAATTAATTTTTAAGTAAGTTCGGATGTGTATAAGATCCCAAATAATTGTACTGCTAACAAATAAAGCGTAACAATGATGAAGTAAGTGCTGAGTCACCCTTGATTACTTGTCGCGTGACGTGCCTCTTCGTCATATGACTTTTCTTGGTGGAATAAATATGTGGCACACGACTAACTCAACACTGGTGTGTGCTGTATTCGATTTACGTTTACATTAATTCAGCCTCGCTTCCGTTCATGATTCGATGTATGATCACTTCCGGTAATGGCGACGACACATGTTAGAAGTTATTAAAAGTTCTGTGTTGAAATCAAAGAATATATCTCCGTTTCTCGTGCCATCCGAACACCACATGGTGTCAGAAGTGAACAAGAAGATATAAACTGTGTCCAGAACGGATATTTAGCGATCAGTGATCAGGAATTACGCGGAAATATGGCTACGAATCTTCCACCACCGAAAGCTCTTTGTCTATCGGGAAATGCAAGTGAGAATTTCAAGTTGTTCAAGCAGCAGTACGAATTATATGTGAACGCCATTGGATTATCTACTGCCAGTAAGGAAAGGAGAAGTGCTATACTGCTAAATCTCGCAGGTGAGGAGGCGCTGAAAATCTACAATGGCTTCACATGGGCTCCAGCGGTAGGTGACCCCGAAGGGGAGGAACATGTACCAGCAGAGGACAAACTGGATCCGGAATTAATTCTGGAGAAATTCCAGAGGTTCTGCACGCCGAAAACAAATGTTACTTATGAACGTTACAAGTTTCACAGGTATACGCAATCAGAAGGTGAGAGTTTCGATAATTTCTTATCACAAATTAACACTCTCGTGTCTACGTGTGCCTACGGTGAACTAAAGGACGATTTTGTCAGAGATAAGATCGTATTGGGTATAAATAGTGATAAGGTCAGAGCACGGCTGTTGAGAGATGGTGAACTGACTTTAGAAAAAGCGATAAATGAGTGTAGAGCAGAAGAATGTTCTGGAAGGTGGGCTCAGGATATAAAAGGAGAGACTTCTAAAGTGCAGGCAGTTCAACATAGGCGGAAAGGAGGCCCTCGTGACAAGGGACCACGTAGTAACGGGCAGCAAAGAAGTGCATCAAATTGCTCCCAGGCGTCGAATAGCCGGTCATGCCGGTGGTGTGGAAAGGAGGTGCACCCCAGAGAAAGATGCCCTGCAAAAGACAGTAAATGTAACAAGTGCAAACGCCCAGGACATTGGGGCAAGGTCTGCAGGAGTAGTAAAGGAAAAGGGTCTGTACAAGAGGTAGCAGAAGTGCAGTCTGACTCAGATGAGTACTACTTCTTAGGAAGCATCAGTGATGAAAGTTACTCTATTGAGAGTATCAACAACAGGAAACGTAGGAGTGCATGGTTTACGGAAGTCCAGGTGTCAGGTCAGAGCCTGAAATTTGCTGTTGATACTGGAGCAGATGTGACAGTCATTTCCAAAGCTGTGTATGATACACAGTTTTCACACTTCATTTTGCAGAAGCCTGACAGGCCTCTTAGTGGCCCAGATCAAAGCAACCTTTCAACTCTTGGATTCTTTACTGCAGAACTAAAGAAAGGTGATCAGACAATCACAGAGGATATATATGTGTTCCCCAAAGGCTCTCTATTGCTAGGTAGAGACGCTTGTGCAGATCTAGGTGTCGTTAAGTTCATTGGAAAAGTTACGTCAGATCCTATCCAGTCAGCGGAGTTCGGATCAATGTTCAAAGGCTTAGGAAAGCTAGAAGGAGAATATAAGATTAAGATCGAGCAAAACGCAGAGCCATACAGTGTGATGACTCCCAGGAGGATATCTATTCCACTACTTCCTCTAGCCAAAGCTGAACTTGACAAGCTTATCGAGCTAGATGTTATAGAACGGTGCACAGAACCATCGGAATGGTGTTCTCCTATGGTCGTGGTGCCTAAAGGAAATGGCAAAGTGAGGATCTGTGTGGATCTCACGAAGCTTAACGAAGTAGTGAAGAGAGAAAGAATCATGCTCCCCACAGTGGATTATACAATTGCTCTGATGGGAGGTGCTAAGGTTTTCTCTAAACTGGATGCCAATGCGGGCTTCCACCAAATCTGCTTGGATGAAGATTCAAGGAAACTGACCACGTTCATCTCACCATTTGGTCGATTTCGATATAAGCGAATTCCCTTCGGTATCAAATCTGGCCCTGAGAAGTTTCAGAGTGAGATCTACCGAATACTAGGTGGTCAACAAGGTGTGGTATGTCTCATGGATGACATTGTCGTGTTCGGAAAGAACCAGGAGGAACATGACGAGAGACTCGTACAGACATTAACACGGCTGAAAGCAGCAGGTGTCACCTTGAATAAGGATAAGTGCCAATTCAGCAAAAGCCAGATTGACTTTCTAGGTCATCGGATCGGAGTTAATGGTGTGGAAAGCTCTCCAGAGAAGGTTGAGGCTATATTGAAAATGCGTGCTCCAGAGAATGTGAGTGAGGTAAGAGGTCTGATGGGTACAGTGAACCAGCTCATGAAGTTTGTACCCAACCTTGCTACTATGACACAACCTCTACGTGAACTCTTGAGCTCTCACAGTGCATGGTGCTGGGGTCCAGCACAGGAACAGGCTTTTAAAGAGATTAAACAATGCTTGACGAGCAGCCCAGTGTTGCAAATATATGATCCTTCACTAGAGACCAAGGTGTCAGCAGATGCGTCTTCATACGGACTTGGCGGAGTGCTTTTGCAAAAGCACGGTGACAGGTGGGCGCCAGTGGCGTATGCGTCCAAAAGCCTTCTGGATGTAGAGAAAAGGTACGCCCAGATTGAAAAGGAGGCCTTAGCTAGTACCTTCGCATGTGAACGATTCACAGATTACATTCTGGGAAAGGATATTATACTAGAGACTGATCATAAGCCTCTTGTACCACTGCTATCCACGAAGGAGTTGGATCAACTACCCGTACGTATTCAACGAATGAGAATGAGGCTCATGAGATACTCGTTCACACCTGTTCATGTGCCAGGAAAACTGTTGTACACTGCCGACACGCTATCCCGTTCTCCAACACCAGCCAAATCAGGTGATTCATTTCATGAGGAAGTGAACTTATATGCTCATCAAGTCATAGCTGGAATGCCTATCAGTGATAGCAAATTAGATGATATTATGATCCATCAACAGGAGGATGAAGCATGCAGGCAAATTATGAACTATGTAGCTGAAGGTTGGCCTGAAAAACATAATGTCAAGGGTTTAGTCAGCCCTTATTTTGCTCATAGAGCAGAGCTGACAGTGGTTAAAGGGCTGTTGATGATGGGACCTCGAGTCGTTATACCATCGTCTATGAAATTGGAAGTCCTGGATAAGATCCACGACGGTCACCAAGGGATTGTCAAGTGCAAGGCATTGGCCAGAAACACAGTGTGGTGGCCAAGCATGATGAAGAATATAGAGGAGTTAATTGAAAACTGTCGCAAGTGTCAGTCTAACAGGAAAAATCCTCCAGAACCTCTAGTTCCTACCATGCTCCCACAACGACCATGGCAATACATAGCCACTGATGTCTATGAACTCAATAAAAGACTGTATTTAGTAATGATTGATTACTACTCCAGATGGATAGAGGTAGCTAGTCTGAGTTCAACCGCCTCAGCAGAGGTCATAGACAGGATGAAACGTGCATTTTCCAGATTCGGAATTCCAGATCAAGTAAAATCTGACAATGCCAGCTACTATACATCAAGGGAATTTAAGATGTTCACTTTAGATTACGGGTTTCGACATGTCACTAGCAGCCCAGGTCATGCTTCAGGCAACGGTGAAGCAGAGAGAGCAGTGCAAACAGCTAAACGTCTCCTAGCTGGCTCTCAAGATCCTTATCTTGCTTTGCTACAGTATAGAGCGACACCATTGGCTAATGGTTATTCTCCAGCTGAGCTAATGATGTCAAGGAGGCTAAAAACCAAAGTGCCGGTGGCCCCGTCTCAGCTGTCCCCAAACCTTGTGCAGAATCATGCCCTACGTCAGTTTGAAGACAATCACAAAACCAAACAGAAGCTGCACTTTGACAGAAGGCATTCAGCGAGGCCTCTTGTTCCCTTAGAGAAGGGAGATGAAGTGATGGTACAAGACAGAGGACAGTCTGGAATAGTAGTGGAGAAGTGCACACCTCGTTCTTATGTGATCCATACGGACACTGGGTCATATAGAAGGAATAGAGTACCAGATCAACAAGATACCACCCCCACCCCCAGCTGCAGCTACATCTCCAGCCAAACCCACACCGGTGCCAGTACCTCCATCACCTAAACTTCCTTCACCCCAAACTGCTAACACTGCAGAAGGAACTGGCACATCAAAAGTGTACACCAGATCTGGCCGTCAATCTAAGCCCTCATCTAGATTGAAGGATTATGTGCCATAAGTGAAGTTATACTTTCTGGCCAGATTTTCTCTGGTTTCTCAGACAGAAAGTCATAACTATGAACGCGTATTCTAGTGTGTGAGAGACTTAGTGCAGAGACAAACGACAATAGCTACCCAGGATGTGTTTCTTAACAAAATGACGATTACTTGAGGACATTTGATTGACGTCGTTTTGATTTTGAATTTCACGCTAGATAAGAAACAAGTATGTCTAAGTAGTTTCTCTTTTATTATCTTAAAGGGGGAGATGTGCTGTATTCGATTTACGTTTACATTAATTCAGCCTCGCTTCCGTTCATGATTCGATGTATGATCACTTCCGGTAATGGCGACGACACATGTTAGAAGTTATTAAAAGTTCTGTGTTGAAATCAAAGAATATATCTCCGTTTCTCGTGCCATCCGAACACCACATTTGACTTGCCCGGATTGTCAACAAGCATGACCGACTCTCAAAAAAGTCGCAGATATGTACGGTCCTGAAACTGTCCAGTTTACCTTGCAGTTGTTCCCGTTGCCATATCACACAAATGCATTCCTAGCGGCACAAGTGAGTTGAAAAAATATATATCGGCTTGTCTATACTCGCATCATCAGAGTTATGTAACATGTAACGTTACAACAGCCCTAGATCATCAACAGAGGTAACACATTTGGGTAAGAAAAATTCTAAGGTTACTTTAAAGGAAAACCTTAACTCTATAGGCACCCTCATTCTTTGACGTTATTTAGCATGTGCATGCAATTTCTCGTTGCAGGATTTTCAATTTTTATAAACCTCCGTGACATGGCGTAATTAAACAAGCTTATATATCGCAACTTGGAGACAACAAAGTGTAGAAGATCTTGGAATTAAAAAAGCTCTAGGTACTCACCACTCAGTCGTTGCTGTAATAAACTCTAGCAGTTGTATACATTACTGGTACCAATTTGTCCATGTCCCCCACCCTCTCCTCACCTTTTGGCTCATGTCACTCCTTCAAAAAACTTCAATTTATTAGTTTTTTAGAATAATTTCTGTACTATTTTTACAGTAGCTCATAAACGACCTCCCACTTCTTGTATTATCTGCAAAATTTCTGGAAGAGGTCTACTTGCGTCTAAATCTAAAAGCAGAAATTATACTGGCCAACATTTCCTTCAAAAGCAAAAACCAAGATTGATGATCAAAACTGCTTTTGAAGTGTAATGAGAAACCAACTAACCCTTATTCAAACACAGAACTAGCTCTTGAGAGGGAAAACTCAAAACTGCATTGTATGCCAATATGCCAAGGCTAAGCTGGAAAACATAAAAAAAGAATGGCCCACTCTTCTTTCACAAATACTGAAAAGCAAACATCACTAAGGAAAAAAAAAACAGAATACCAAAGGGGTAACAAACATTTTCCATTTTACATTTTCATTTTCCATTTTCCCTGTACAGTTTCATAAACCATTTAGTCATGTCAGAGCTTAAAAACTGATTTTGAAAATTTTGAAAATGGCTAAGACTGTTAAACCCAAAAAACCTAAATCTTAGTATGATGCACCTAAACTTGTAGCAGTACTGCATCATAACAAAATTTTGGTTCCATAGGTATCTTGTGGTCTAGTCATCTTCTGAAATTTACCTTTCCCCTTCTCAACTTAAATGATTGCCTGTGACTATGCGACAGAAATTTAAGCACAAATAGTCAGTAAACTGAGAATTATCTTCATTCACGCTAAAGGATTAAGCTAAGTCATCTTGTTTTGGGATCAGGCAGTTAATTGAATCACTATCCTACAAACATGAAGCAATAGACTATTACAAAAAAAGAATTTGACAGAATATCTTCCAAACAACAGTCCATTAATCAGCAATAACTAACAAACACTAATGAACTAGAAATTATCAAAACTGCCTATGCTGTGGGTGAAAGGGAAACTACTTCCTAAGTTAGAAGTCAACTTGTTTGCTTTCTAACGCTTGATTGCTAATGGAACAAACTCAGATATCTAAGCAGTGATTTACAGAAATAATTTTGCAATAAAACTCTGTATTAGCTTGCACAACCACTGGTCCTATCCAAGTGTTATGACTTGCATGTGCACAAATTGCTCAATCTAGGAAGAGACCTCATCGCTCTCATATCAAGATTCATATTAATGAGATTGATTTTCACTAATTGTAGGTTAACAAATAATTGTATGTATACATATCAACAAAGACATTGTGCTATTTTTATTGCTACCACGAAATGATATGTAGTTCAATTTCTCAGAGCTACTTATAAATCACATATAACTTTCCAAATTTTTTAGAGTGTATTTTATATTTATTTCATGATTCAACTATTGGATGGTTGATTTTTCTAACAAATTTTACTGCAAAGTTTTGGTAACACTGTGTTATCTAAATATACTGCATCCAACATTGAAGTGTTAGAAACAACTTTGATTAATTTTCAGAGTGTTTATGCTGTGGAAGCTTACAATACTTCCCTTGTGATAAGCTGGATGGATGTCATATTTGAGAACCAGAACCAACTCTATGATTTCCAGACTATGGACAAAAACAGATATGATGTCATAAAGTAAGCCTTTTCTCAGTAACAGATTTTTTTAATATTAGACTTCCTATCACTTTGAATGAAAGCGTAATCGTAACTTGCTTCTTTATCCTTAAAACCACAATTCCAAAATCCTCAGCTGCCGAGTTTAGAAATGCAAGATTTTTTTGTTGCAAATGCAATTTTGTTCACTTTTTCCTTAATTTTTACAAACTCTTGACACCCAGGCCAATGACGTTGCATCATTTTCTCTTTTCTCTCATACCTGTAGCATCATTGCTGATTTAGGAAGTAAAATTGACATTGACAAGACTGTTATCAAGGATGGACTTACAAACACAGAATATAATGAACATACAAGAATCTCTTGGAAATATGGTTGTTCAAGTAAGTTTAGGACTTGTTAAGTGCTCAGCTAGTCAAATTACGTTAAGATCAGTGATAAACCTAATTTCAGATCTAAGCAATACAAATCTGTAGTTTATATTATGTCAGCCCAAAATATTTCAAATCATACCATCAACTGTAACAGACTAATTTTAACTTAGCAGCTTGTGTAAGGTGTTATGCCATTAGTTTCAGTAATTACTACAAGGAGTTAAACCTGGGGCAAATGAGAACAAATCCAGTGAGTCACAGCCTGGAGGTCTTTAACTCGTGACCAACAGATTTCAAGCCTAGTGCCGTAACCTATGACTGGGCCAGACTGCCTCCATCAATGATGACACTATATGATAATCTCTCACACTCCCAGGAGTAAATTGAGTAAAAATAAAGAGTTTTTGAGATGGGATAAGAGTTACATAGTTACTCAGTATTTGTTTGGATATGTATTGTGGTTCAAGTTATCCTTGGTTTGAGATTTTTCAAATAAGGTTTGAGTTTATTTTTCTTTGTGTTATATTCACTATTTTAATCTGAAACTTTTGTGGGATTTGGAAGTCACACTTTTTGATAAAATGTAAGCTATGAACTGCAACATTAACTGGCATGACAACATTGAATTAACTTTCTATACCACCAGAGAGATTGTTGGACATTATTTTCATTTCTGTTTGTTTCAGGGACAGTTTCTGGAACTCCATTTTTCTTCTTGAATGGGGTTTTTGTTAGCCAGGCATCTGCTGCTTGGACTGTGGAGGAATGGAAACAGCTCATTGATCCTCTACTGAAGTTAGATGTTCGGTTAGTAGGAAAACTACTCATGAGTTTATCATTCCACAACCATACAGCTTGAATAATTCCACAACCCTGCAATTCCATGAAATGTGTCAGCATTCATTACTTTTTTCTTTTTTTTCCAGTGACTTTTTGAAGTTGTGATTGCTGGAATATTGGCACCCCATTACAATACTGGTTGAACCACTTAACTTCTACATCAAGAAAAAAAGAATCTCCTTGACTTTTTTTATTTTAAAACACTTAAAATTACTCTGTTAAGTCTGCTGATTAGTGATGAGAAGAAGTCTGCAAGATTTTGTTTTGCAACAATATCAGAGCTAACTTTCAAACCTCCTCAAGGTTATCTGCTATAGAAAGACTCACCGAGGAAATTCTTCACACAAGGCCATCCAAACCCGAAAATGTCTGCCCACCACTCGTCACAAACTACCCTCCATTCTCCACTTGCTTTAGTGCATTAATTTGGATTTGTGATCACTCTTTTTTTTTGGCCGACAACCTCATCCTACATTCACCACATCTGACTGCAAGTCCAATAGAAAAAAATTAAGATCATTCATTATTTGTGAACACGGAATAATTTAAGAAATGTTTTAAGTTAAGCCTTTGCGAAAGGAAAAACAATCGGTAAGAAGTAACCACGAAATAATCTCACCGTTGACTTCTTTGAGGAGGTCTAAAGAATTTAATATGCATGGGAAAAAAAGTATTATTTTAATATCACACAAAAACGTCACAGCTTTATTTAGACTCAGGTCCTACAAGGCGAACAGAAGCTCAGTGTTATGTCGTTATCATGATCCATTATGCCAAACGTTACAGGTAAAGGAAAACAAATGTATATCGCACAGATAACAGTGAAGTGCTTCAACTTTTTCCGTCGTGAAAGCAGAATTACTCTTAGACATGGGGCCCTTTGATCAGTCTTGTTCGAGAGTGCAGCGTTACTTGATGCGACGAAATTCTCTCGTTAATTAAAAGTATCTGAGTAGATTCCTGTTTAAGATTTCACGGGCAATGCGCTTTGCTAAAAAATTGGGTTTAATTTGAGTTTACATCAATCCCCTCCCTAAATTCTTAGGTATGCTTACCAAACGGAATGTTGGGTCTACTTCTAATTTAATTCACTTGCCACTCAATGTTTTAATGCAGCTTCCCATTTTTATATTTTGTTGTTTACACTTTTGTTTTGAGCTACACACTTGTACAACACAGTGACCAACTTCAGTTTGAAGGTCGCGTTCATTTTCCTTATTCTTAGTTGTCAGAACCTCTATAACATCAAAAGCATTACCATCGTAAGTTCTCCTAAATTAATACTTCTTTATAAGCAGTATTTTACCGGTATTTCTAATTAACGTCGGTTTCCACAGGCTAACAGTTTCCTCTACAACTGACAATAGTTGACTTAAGTTAAGCTCCTTTTGTAATTCCCCAGTTTTCAAATTTCCTTGGTTTGCAATTGAATGGTTTCAGACCCTCTTTGTGTCCTTTCCCTTTCGAAACTGCAACACAAACTTGACAATACAGTGGATACTTTGGCATCCAATAATTTCCGATAGCAGTTCCACTGATGTTGCCATATCCTTTCCACTTCCACTCCAGATATTTATTGTACTCGGTTTCGTTGTTGCTAAGATACTGGAGGTATTCAGCTAACAGTTGTGGGCTCTTGAAATCACGCACTTTTATCACTGAACGGTTAAGATAGGGCCCGGGTAGAAACTCATCCAGCTTATCTGTAGCCATGACAACAGGAACCGAGCCTGCATCCATTGCGTGGTGTAGTTGAGCATCCACAAAATAATCACAGTCTTGGTTGAAGAACACCAGGCTGAACTTGTACTGTCTGGCCAGCATGGATTTAGCATCTATGAAATTAGTGCCCTGTTTGTTTTTGCCATACCTGCCCACTAGACTATTATTGTTCCTTAGACAGGCGCCGAAAGAATCAACCTTTACAAACTTCATTAGCTGCCTCATGTACTCGGTTCGAACTACCTCGCAATTTGATAAAGCTGCCATGATGAGCCCAGTCTTATTCTTAAAAGGAACAGGGGGTGCTACACCAGGCAGCAAGACAGAGGGATCTGGAAAGTCTGAGTCCAGCCGATAACTTTTCAAGTAGCTAAATTTCGACATGAAGCTGGCGTCGTACAATACCGGTGTGTAAATTGGATTTTCTCGAGTCTGCAGAATCCAAGGCACTGATTTTATTGGTGGGTCTGGTCGTGGGTCCCTGGCATGGACTAAAAAGGCATCTGCCTCTTTTGCTCTGGATTGGTCACTAGTCCACTCACACGGTACTGGGCAGTCACCTTTTTCAAATGTTTCGTGAAGATTGAGCCTTCTTCCAAAAAACGTTGACCAATATACTACAAGCCAACGCTTTGTCTCTGATCCTTCGGTTGTTACATTTATGCCGTGCTGTGTTGTGATTTTTGCAGTTTTTATCTTTAGCTTTGAACTATCCTTAACAGGTTCCTTCATGTCATCCGTTTTCGTTTTCCATACAGCAACTGGTATCATGGAGGTGGAATTTTCATTCGAGGGAAAATAATTTGTCTCAAGTTGCCACAGTAGCACTGCAAACAATATCAAGCCAAGCGTACACTTTAGAGCGTACTCTTTTCCTCCCATTCCGTGACAAATCTTTTGTTTACGTCGTAGTACAGGTTACCTGTAAATAACAACATTTTTTAAGGTTATTAGGAGAATGAGCGGCTTGTCTGAGTCTTTCCTCTAGGAAACCAGGGAGGTGCATTTACAATGAGTGACACATTGATGTTTTCTGTGAAGTCATCCACTGGTGTAAGTCAGGGTCACACCCCAGTGCCACTTCATACAGTTAACCTAACAGAAACGTTGACGCGATTACTCAGTAAGAAGGTAAAGTTAAAGTGGGGTGACCGATGTGAGAAGGCGCTCGAGGAATTGTATGCCATGTTATAGAGAGCCACTGTATTGACAGCGCCTGATTTCAAATCCC